TCTTTTCACGGAGTTTTCCTGCCCTCCCTGCTGGCGTCTGCGGGCTGCACCCCGGGGAGGCAGCGGGCGATGCTGCACGGGAGGTCTCGGCCCCCGGTCTCCGCTCACAGGGACAGAATGTGGTCCTGGGGGCACCCCAGAAACGAGGGGTCTCCCCTGGGGTCTGCGGGGTCTCCTTAGCTACAATTTTTCCCAAATCCAAATACCCAGAATGAAGGGGGGAAAAAAAAAAAAAGAGGAAGAATCCCCTCTCCGGACATGTAAATAAATGGTCCGTGTGCGGCGCCGGCTTATTTGTTTTCTGCCTTCTCCTCTGCCCAGGAATAGGTGTCAACTCTATCACATGGCACCGCTAACTGTTGCTAAAACATGTTGTCGTCTCCCCCCTCCCTTAATGATATGACATCACTTGTCAATCAAATCAAAATAACCAGTTGTGCTTCCAGATCTGGGAAAGCTCCCTTATTAAAAGAGAAAAATAAACTGCAACAGCAATAATAATAATGAAAATAAAGGTAATAAAACGAAGCCCGTAGTGCCCGGGGGAAGAAGGGGGTAAAGAAGGTAAAAGGGGGTTGGCAGGCGCGGGGTGAAGGAGGGGGCCCGGCCGGACCCTCTCCGGGGAAGCTTTGGCAGAAAATTGAGGGAAGAGCTGCTTAACCAGCCGTGTGAGCGGCGGGCTGCGGAGCGGAGCTAAGCCGCTCGCCTCCAGCAGCCAGCGCAGTTCGCTGCTGCTCCCGGCGGGCGCATTAATTCAATTAAAACCCTCAGCCATGCCGCCGGGGAGGTGAGCGGCCGAGCCCAGAGCCGGCACCCGGTTCGCCAGAACCAGGCAGCGGGGACGGGACGCGTCAGGAATTTAAAAAATAACAAAATTGCACAAAATTATAAAATAGAACAAAATAAACCAACATACTGCGAGCCGGCCGCTTAGGAAGTCTCCCAGCTCAGGCGGGCTCTCAGCAGAAATCTTACATCCCTGCCGGAGGGGTCATTTATTTTACAAAGGGTTTGAATGGGAGGGGTTGCAGAAGGCGAGAGGTGGGTGCGAGGAGAGGCGCCGGCCGCCGGAGGAGAGCACCGGGCTGCGGGAGCTGGTAGCCGGACCCCCGGGCCGGAGGTGGGGCGGGCGCCGGGGAAGCCGGTCCGGAGCCGCCGCCGCCGGCTGCTCGCCCCTTTTGTTTTCCTTCGCCTGCCGGGCCTCGGGTAACCCGAGACGGGGGCTTCAGGGAGCCCCGGCCGGGCAGCGCCGGGGTCTGCCTCGCCATAAATCAAGCCGCCTGATTAATCTTTACAATTTGTCTTTTAAAACAAACACGAACGAATTATCAGCTCGTTAACTGCGATTTTATCACCTGCCTAAAACAAACAGCCCACCCCATTCCCCCCCCCCCCCCAAAAAAAAAACCCCAAAATCACGTCCCCTTGCTGACGGCAGGAGGACAGTAATTAAAACATCCAAATTAATTAATAAGCATGTAGCGAGGAGCTGGATTTGGCTGGCGGCGGGAGCCGGCGAGGCCCGGGTGATCCCGGCTGACCACAGCCCTGCTCCGCCGGCCGGGGCTCACGGGCACGGCACACCCCGGCCCGGCCGCCTCCGGCTGGGTACAACGAGGCGCCGGGGGAATCTACCTGCAAAGGGCCGCGTTTGTTTTATAGTCATCATTCTTTCAAAACATTTAAAAATCCATTTTCGGGTGATACTTGGGTGATTTTGGTGCATTTAGAAAGAGAATGCTTCGGAGGGAGAAGCTGGATTCTTGGAAAGCTCGCTTGGTTTTCTCTCTGCCTTTTAACTTTCCCTTTTTTATTTTTTTATTTTTTAATTTTTGCTTTGTTTCCCTTTCCTCCCGGTCACCACGGGACTGAGGCTCCCGGGCACTCTCCGCATTTGCCCTCCCGACCCGCGGCCCCTCTCCCACCAAGCTCGGCCCAGCGCCTGTCCCCGGCCTGCCCGGGCCAACCAGCCGGTCCCGGGAGCAGCCCGGCTCCATCCACCGCCCCTTCCGCGCCCGGCAGCCGCCGGAGGAGCTGCCCGGCCCCGCCGCTTGCGACCCCCCCGCAGCGGCAGGAGGGGGCGAGGGGCGCCGCGGTCCCGGCGCCACCGCGCAGCCCCGAGGTCAGGGGGCCGGGAGGAGCGGGACACCCGGGCTTGGGGCGGAGGAGGCGACACAGGAGAGCATGAGAAGGGGGAGGGGGGGAAGCGTAATCGCCTCCCCCTGTCCCAACCTTCAGGTCCCCCAGTATGGCCCCCGCTCCCGCGGGCTGCGCTGTGCGTTCCCCCCGGGGGGCTGCCTTGAGGGTCCCTTGGGGGAAGGTTACAGGGGGACAACGAGTAGCGGCGGGGGGAATAACAAGAGAGGGAGCCCCATGTCGCTCCGACCAGACGTGCTCCGCAGCGAGGAAAAGGAGCTTTATTATTATTATTATTATTATTGCCATTATTATTATTATTGTTATTATTTTTTAAAAAGTTCATTTCCTGGCGAATTTGGCAGTGACGGGTGACGTCAGAGCCCCGGCGTCGTAGTGACTGGGGCGGTCGGGCCGGGGGAGGCCGGCTCCAGCTCCCAGCCCCCAGCGCTGCCCGCCGCGGGGGCGGCCCGGGGGCAGCGGCGGCAGGAGCAGCATCCTCGGGGCTGCCCCCGCCCGCAGCCCCCGGCGCAAACAGCACGGCCCCGGTGCCCCGCGCCCCCTGCCCCGGCCGCGCCGTCGGGCTGGAGCCGCGGCCGCTGCCCCAAGAGCCCCGGGCAGGGACGGTGTCCTCGCCCGCGCCCAGCCAGGAGGGCTGGAGGATTGCGATCAGCGTTTCCCTTTTTCCCCGAAAGCAGCGGCTGAGGAACGGGACGGGAGCGCCTGGGAAACGGGACACACAGCAGCGCCCGGCCTCGCTCCGGGGAGTTGTTTGTGCCTTTCCCATTATTATTATTTTCCGCCCCAAAGGCGGACCGGTTTATCCGCACCTTCGCGGGTGGCGAAGCCAGACCGGCGCCCCGGCTGCTGCCGCTGAGCCGCACCACAAACTCCGCAGAAAACGCCTGTTGATTCGGGGTGCACCTCCGCTCCCCGCCCCAAAGCACACGAATAATTGCAAATAGTAAAACTGATGTTTGGGTTTTGTTATTAATTTCTTTAAGAAAAATTTGTGAGGTTGGGGAAATAAAAAAAAGCATTAGCGATGTCGCAGCTCCACTGGGAAGGCTGCACTCCGTCCCAGTGTCCTTGTGCCCGACCAGGCTCGGCTCCCCGGGCCCAGGGTTGCCAGCCAGCCCCAGCCCGGGTCCGGCCCGAGCACTACGGGCCGGGTCCGTCCCTGCCCTGCAGCCGGCTCGGAGCGGCCCCGCTGCCCGGGCCCTGCTCGTCCCGTCGGTCTCCGGGGTCGGCGCGGAGCCTCGCAATTATTTGTTTTTAATTATTTTTTCCCGATCCAGACAGTTATTTCAAACTAATGTGACCGGGCTGAGGTTTGTCCCGCTCCCGGCTGCGCGCCGCTGTGCCTGATTTAAGGGATTTTAGCATATTTATCTCCCCGGTGCCGATTTCCAGCCGCGGACATCCCGGCGGCGGCGCTGAAAGTCGCGGCTCAGCGGCGGGGCAGCTGAGACCCGGCGGAGTCAGCCCCATGGCCGAGCCCTTCCCGCACTCCATCTCCGCTCGGCCCCCCTGTCCCCGCTCCGCATCCCGCACTCCCCGGCGGGACCCCCTCCGTTCGGCCGTCCCCGCCCCGCAGGGGCGTGCAGCGCCCGGGCGGGGAAAGCCCCCACGGCGCTGCCGGGCGAGATGCTGCGAGCGGGGGCAGAGGGGCGGAGGAGGGGGGTCTGCCGCGCTCCCCCCCGGGCCGGCTCCGTTTGGGGCCGGGGGTGCGGTTGGGGGCGGTGTGGGGCGGCGGGATTGGCTGGCCCGGCCGCCGGCCCTGCGCACCCCGGCCCGTCTGCGGCGCCGCGGCCAGCTGGCGCCAGCGCTCATATAGGATGCGCGGGGATGGGACCGAGTCGGCCAGAGCAGCGGCTTTGCCATCTGAGTAACACTCTCCATCCAACCGCCTCGGCTCTTCCCGCGCTCGCTCTGCCTTTGCCCCCTCCTCTCCCTCTTCGCTTTTTTAATTCCCCCTCCGTTCTCCCCCTCCTTGCCGCACTCGCATCCTCCACGCCGGTATTCATCGCCACCCAGCCTCCCGCGCCGGGTAAGTGTGGGGCGCGGGGGGGTCGCCGCGCCGCTGCCAGGGCGCACTCGCTGCTTTCTCTAAACACCCTTCTCTCCACTCTTCTCCTCTACCCCCTCCCTATTTCTCCCCCTCCTTTTCCTTTTGTGTCAGTCGGAGTTCTTGCTAGAACTACGCTGTATTAGTTCTGCCGTTCTTCCTTTTTTACCCCGCTTTTGAAGCCAGCTGGAAAAACTCCTATTGACGTTTCTAGCGAGGAGGGGGGGGGGGAGAGAACGAAACTATTTCCTTTTTTCCCTTTTTTCCTTTTTTTTTTTTTCTTCCTTTCCTTTCTTTTTTTCTTTTTGTTTTTAGTTAAGAGTTTGAAATGGATCTCTGTTTATTTTGCGGGGCAATGAGCAGGGAGAGAGCAAGGCAAGGAGTTTTGGGGACAGGATATTTTTGGCAGGGAGGAGGGGCTCTGCTTCCCCCTCCCCTTCCATGTACCTCTGGGAAAAGAAGCCGGCCGGGAGCCGGCCCGGCGAGCAGCGCACCCACGGCTGCCGAGCTCCTAAACCCTCCTGCCTCTCTCTACAGGTGCTGCCCTGGCGCTTCCCCGGACCTGCCTCCGCTGCCCGCCTGTTGACGGAGGGACACGCTGACTTCAGGGGTCCTCTCCCACTCCTCAGAGGGCGCGCTCCACTCACCCGGCGGTTTTCTTTCTAAGAAAAGCCACCCCAATCTCCTAAAACCCAGCGGGCAGCGTCCAAAGCGACCCCCCGAGCAGCACTCCCCGCCCCCACCGAGCGCCGCTCGCTCCTGGCCTGGGGGTGGCTGAGAGGGGAGGCCCAAGGCCATGGAGGTGGCCACGGATCAGCCTCGCTGGATGGCCCACCACGCCGTGCTCAACGGGCAGCACCCCGACAGCCACCACCCCGGGCTGCCTCACAACTACATGGAACCGGCGCAGCTCCTACCTCCGGATGAAGTCGACGTCTTCTTCAACCACCTGGACTCCCAGGGCAACCCTTACTACGCCAATTCCGCCCATGCCCGGGCCAGGGTCTCGTACAGCCAGGCACACGGTAAATGAGCACCGCGGCCCCTTCCCCGCCGTGCGAGCCGCGGGTGTCCCGCGCGGGGTGAGGAGTTTCACTCGGGGCCGCCCCGGTGTGTCGGAGCCGGGGAAAAGGAGATCGAAAACAGGATAGACAGGCAGGCACGGGTGGATTTTAACCCTAGGGATAACCAAAGGCTAGCGGAGGGGAGGGAAAGAAAGGGGGGAGGTGAGAGAGGAAGGGGAAACAGTATGCGCACGGGCTGAAACTTCTCAGACACGGCTACTTCCCGGATGCAAAATACAAACCGATTCAAACCGGCGATGGATTTTATTTGGGGGTGTTCTTAGGAGCCGAAGAGAGAGCATTACGGCAGCTCAGAAAGATAGAGTATAACGGGGTTTGCTGCATTTTCCTAGGAATGGGGTGGGAGGAAAGGGATTGCCTGAGTGCCCCTCCTGCTCCCCTTGCTCCTTCTGGCCGGGCTGGTTGGTGTCTCCCTCAGATGGGACAGGGGGAAGGGGCTGCTGCACCAGCCTGGCTGCTCTTCCCTGGGTTGTGGAGTGTCTGCCGTGGCCGCCTGTCCTCCGGCTGCCCAACCACGGGGAGCTGGGGTCTTCCCCGGCCGCTCCGGGCTGAGCCGCCCCACGCTGACCCCAATCGCTCTTGTGTTCCTACAGCCCGCCTGACCGGGAGTCAAATGTGCCGGCCTCATCTTATCCACAGCCCCGGGATCCCTTGGCTGGACAGCAGCAAGGCGGCACTGTCTGCCCATCACCACAACCCCTGGACCGTCAGCCCCTTCACCAAGACACCCCTTCACCCCTCGGCGGCCGGAGCGCCTGGGGCCATCTCGGTGTACCCGGGCAGCAGCACCTCCAGCACCGCCTCCGTGTCTTCGCTCACCCCGGCCTCGCACTCCGGCTCCCACCTCTTCGGCTTCCCCCCGACCCCTCCCAAGGAAGTGTCCCCAGACCCCAACTCCACCAGCGCCGCCTCCCCTTCTTCCTCCGCCGGGGCTCGGCAGGAGGACAAAGACAGCATCAAGTACCAAGTGTCGCTGTCGGAGGGGATGAAGATGGAGAGCGCCAGCCCGCTCAGAAGCAGCCTCACCAGCATGGGAGCCCAGCCCTCCACCCACCACCCCATCCCCACCTACCCCTCCTACGTGCCGGCAGCCCACGACTACAGCAGCAGCCTCTTCCACCCGGGCAGCTTTCTGGGGGGCCCCGCGTCCAGCTTCACCCCCAAGCCGCGGAGCAAGGCCCGCTCCTGCTCGGGTAAGTGTCGCTCCCGGCCTTCGTGCGGGCTCTCGGGGAGAGCATGCGGGCTGCTGCGAGGCTGTGAGCTTGTGCTGGCCCGCTTCGGGACAGGGGGACAGGTGACTGCTCGGTTCTGCTTTTCTGGGTTTTTAGAAGTAGGAGATGGAGCCTGGGCTGGGCTGCTGCGGGCGCCGATGCACACAGGGCGCTCGAACGGGCCGCGGGGCGCGGGACCGGGGCAGGCTGAGCCAGCAGAGCGCCTTGTACAAAGAGGGATTTATATGGAGAAAGAAACCCGAACCCTTTTCATCGGAGAAAAGCAGGCCTCAGGCTCCCGAGGGGCTCCGGCTCGACCCTGCTCCCTCGAGGCAGGCAAGCCCCCATGGATGACACATGGGGACTTTCCAGCCATAGGTATTTCTCCCTCCGTAATTTCCACGTCTCTCCATTAACACCACCCAAAGCTCCAGCGCAAGATGAAAGCGAAACTTCCCTGGCCTGTCCCCTTCAGATCGCAAAGGGCCTTTTTCCCTTCGCGTTTTACAAGAGCAAAAGTTCAGATATAGTTTACATAACCAGTGCAAAAGACTAAGGTGTCCAGTCACTGCTAACTTACTCCAGCCTAACTTTAACTAGAAAATGCTTTCCCCCCCCGTTTTTTTTTTTTACCCTGAATTGGACATAGCTCTGCTTCCAAACAACTGCCTGCAGACCTTTCCCATGCTCACCCTTCCTTGCATTTCTTCTAAAAGCGCCGTCCTAAATCTGTAAATTAGGGGATGAACAAAGTTTTGACCCCACTTTAAAATCAGAGTAGTTATACAGCTAGACACAAATTATGAACATTTATGTGATTCTACTGACCTCCTTGGTTTAGTATTCTCACCAATGGAAGGAAATTAACTGCAGTATATTGGGGCTGAATTTAGACAGTCCTTTAAAAATAAATGGCCCTATAGGCATTTGCATATGTATTCCATTGAACATATTTGCTTATGAATACACTACATGTTTTTATTTAAGTAGACAATAATTTAGAAATGTGATCTCTTATGAGTTTTGCAACAAAAATACCAGCTATTTTACAAGCTCATCAGTACTGTTTCAAATGATTCCTGGGAAGGGAAAAATACATTCTTTTTCTGCTGTTATTTCCAGGCAGTTGCTGCTATATGTATGCATTTTTAGTGCCTAGAAGAGAAGCTACAGGCAGCGGGTAGCCCAAATCTCCTGAGTCTGGAATCTGACTCGAGATCCAGGTCTCTAAAGACAAGAAGGATCCTGAGTAGCTTTTTTAAAATTTTTGTCCCATAGCTGCTGCTGATTTTTACATGGGGGAAACAAGGACCTTTTTTCTTTTGTTTTAGAGTTGCTTCTTTTTTTTTCCCTCTGTAAGGGAGCTCCCAGTGTAAGGAACTGGGGAAAGTTCGTGACCACTCAGTGTTTTTGTAGGAAAACTAAGACTCACGACAGGACGACTCCTGCAGCTTCCTGCCCTAGGAGGGACAAGAGCTGCAGATGCAATGCCGCAGAGCTCCCCTCATTTCTCACTCCAGACTGTGTTGTTTAAAAGCTACCTACTCCCTAGATTAAGGCAGACACGAGCCCCGCTGAACTCAACATGGCCTGCTTCAGTTATTAGCAAAAAGAATTTCCTTTCCAGTTAAATACTGTAGGATTTGCATAAACGGTATTAAGAGAGATTTCTATATTAAGCAGACCTGCCCTCAAACCATCCAAGGCAAATGAACTTTTAGCAGGAAGCTCTCTGATGCAGAAACAGATATCTTGGAGTTACATGTTGTGTTTTATTTAATGCAGCCATTCTACAATGCTGTGTTTACCACATAGTACTAAAACTAATAATGAAGGTAAACTGCTCCCTACCAAATCCAAGCTGGATTGTTGAAAAATCACAGAAACAGAAAAGCACTCAAGCCTGTTTTCACAGTAATGTCCAGTGAAACTGAACTTTCTCAAAGAACAGCATTAACAGCATTTTTATGCCTTTAGAACAAAAATCATAACTGAGAGTCTGGTATTTTGTATCCATTCCCAGTCTGCTCGGCTCTACTTTCTCATCCCGTAGCATTTGCAACAGAAAAGAAAGTGCAGAATTGGAGGTCTTTTTGCTTAGATTTATTTCTAGAAAACCTCTGACTCTGTCTCTAAGGTGCTGCGTGTTTGCAGGTGTGTGTGTTTGCATGTGCACGGGTGTTTCTGTGGCAGGGGAACCCGGGATTTCACCACCGCAGTGCAATATAACCGGGAGGGGAGCGGTGCCTGGTGAGGACTCAGGGAGTTCTTGCTGAAATGATAACTTCCATCTGACACAATGCGAGTGTCACTCTTGCTCACTTCGCAGAGAGTGCTGCCTATTCCCAATCATGACATAAAATACTCACTGGAGCCTGGGAGTTCTTGAAACACTGAGCTCCTTGCTGCCTGTACTGTAGATGTCACTGCTGCCTGGTTGTGCTTAATTAACAGAATTAACACACTGTTTTGACTTCTGAAAAATGCCTAAAGGACAATGCAGAAAGATTTTGTGAATTTGTTTTTAAAGAAAGAAATCTGTTTTCTTCATGTTTCCATTTAGAAGGCAGAGAGTGTGTGAACTGTGGAGCCACTGCCACCCCTCTCTGGAGAAGAGACGGCACCGGGCATTACCTGTGTAACGCCTGCGGGCTCTACCACAAAATGAACGGGCAAAACCGACCTCTCATTAAACCCAAGCGAAGGCTGGTAGGTGTCTTTATTTCTCCTGGGTCTGGGGATAAATAAGGCAGCGGGACCACCCACAGGCACGAGTCGGTCGTGCCTCGGCTCTGCTGAGCCCCTGCGTGGAGCCGAGCTGTACTGTACCCTGCACCGGGTCAGTCACGGCGGGGTCACTGCCGTGCCTCGGGGCACATCTCCCCCTCCGCCCCCATCCCATCCCATCCCATCCCATCCCATCCCATCCCATCCCATCCCATCCCGGCAGGAGCTCCGAGCCGCTGTCCCAGCCTCCCTGCCGCTCACAATGCACGCGGGATATCGTGTGTCCTGCGCCCCGTTTGTCCTCAGATGACAGCTTTTAATTTAATTCCTCATTTACTTGGCCTCTTGGGACGGTTTGGGCGCGCACTGGGAGCGAAAGGGTTATGAGCATGAATGTCCTCCACCGTGGACTAAAAAAAAGTTCCAGCTCCAGAAAAGCAAAACAAATCAGATGAGTCAAAGCTACTGCTCCCCACTCAAAAATTATTTGTATAAAAGCCATGAAGTAATTTTCACTCTTATAGTCTCTGGCAATATTAATATTGGTTCCCTCCCCAGACAATCCCCTACTGTTAAAAAAAATCCTATTATTTTTCCATGGAGTCACCTATACTTTGTATTTTCATTTGACTGATTAAAAAAAAAAAAAGTCCTTTCTAAGCTCCTGGTAGTAGTTTCCTATCCGGATATCTGTACGTTAAAGATAATGAAACTTTGTGTATCTGTTTCCTGACTCTAAAAGCTTTAGAGAGTTTCTATAGGCAAGCCTTGCCAGTCATGCTTGCTGTTTTGAAATTTCTAATACACTCTACTCCGCAAATAATGCGTAAAATGCTAAGAATAATAAATATATTTTTTGGAGCTTTGTGATTTATGGTGCCTAAGTCTCCTAGCTATTCGTGGGCAAATATCAACGAGGTTTAGAGAGCAGAAAATTGGCATTACTGTTTTAACACTGGGATGGGATATAGAAGATTTCTGTCCTGAGTCAGAATTTCAGCTATGTAAGCTTCTTAATGACTTGCCTTCTAAAGTGACTGACATATAGAAAAATATTAAGACAACAGTGTAACATTATCGTCTCTCAAGCTCAAGTGCTTTCCAGACTGAATGGGACAGGCCATAGAGTTAAGCAGCATAGTTGAGTATCAGTAAGCCATCTCAAATATGCAAACATAGGTCCCCACCTTCCAGTGTGTTGGGAGACTGTTATACTTAGCTCACTGTGCAGGGTTTGGGGGGCACTAGAGAGGTTTTCTTTTAGTGTTTAACTGTTTAAATGTTTAGTTTTAATTGATTTACAGCTTTGTTTATTGCCCCTTTTTCCACTGTAGTTCGCTTGTTTGCGGGGGAGAGGAGGTGGCCATCTTTGGGAATTTGTTCATCTGCCCTGCAATAACAAAGTGATCGTATTAATAATGTCAGCATTTGGACGTCTGGCATTAATTGTGTTTGGGTTGCATGAGTGCATTTGCAGTAGGGGGTACCCCCTCTTTCTGCCTTCAGCCTGTTCTCACAGGCGAGTAAGGCACTGAAATATACGAGTCTCCTAGGGCCTGATTCTTGCCTAAAGCTGCTGAACCGTCCATCAGCTTTGGGAAAGTTACAGGCGGCCATGGCATAAATCAGGAGCAAGCAAGAACAGAACCCTGTGCTCCTCTTGGGTGAGCGGGCCGAGCTGTGCTTCCAGCGGTGCCCGCTCCCCACCGGGGCTGGCGGGCAGGGAAGCACACCCGAGTTCCTGGGAATCCCACTGTGTTCCCTGGGAATGCCACTGCCCTGGGACTGGAGATGCCCTGTGCATTCCTGTGAGCTTTGCTGGGCCTCACCCCATGGCTCTCCATGGCTAATTGCAGAAATATCCAGGGAACAAGGCCCCGGGGAACGACAGCGATTGATACGCTTTAGGAAGTAAACTCCAATTTAAGAAAATACCGAGTCCTCAGCATTAATTCAGCAGCACAAAATGGACTTGGTGTTTTGACCACTTCTAGAGGGTTTCTAATACAAAATAATTTCCCAAAATACGGAGTGCAGTTAGTCTGTCCATAACACTTTCTACATCAGTGTCCATGCACAAAGGACGCTTTATCGTGGGTCTGCTAGACAAGGGCCCGTCCAGGAATCACGGGCGCCTGCACTTCTACTTTTCCTGTTCTTGTTTTGGGAGGTGGGTGAATGTTTGGGCTTTTCTCTTTCCCCTCACCTTGGTTTCAGCAGAACAATAGTTTTATGAAAGGGTGGTGGATTTTTGGCGGTTTTGTTTAATTTTAAGACAGTTGTTTGAGGGCTTGTCAGCCAAGGAACTAAGTAGGGACAGAGGCGGCAGACGGGGGTCAGCAGAATCATTGCTGCAAGGCATGAAATTTGGTTTGCTAAATATTTAAAGAAAGTTGGAGCCGGTTTTGTTTTCTCCCTTTCACTTGTAAATGCAAACTGAATTGTCAGTGATGGCTCTGATAAATACTGCACCCAGCTAAGTAATGTGGTTCATTTTCTTTTGTGTCCATCTTTCAAGGGCCAGAGTAGGAGAAAAAATCACATTCTTAAAGATTCCCTAGTTTCAACCCCAGTCCCAACACTGGCAAAGACTAAAATTGAAGAAAAAGAAAAAGGCAAATGCATTTTCATGACAGAGACATTCTAGAATCCTGAAAAAGGAAAATTTGAAAAAGTCAAGATTATTTTTTCACCCCTCTAAATTTTTTTTTGTTTGTGGAATCAGAGATTCATTGTTTCTCTCCTTACTTCTGTTGCACACAGAGTGCCATGGGGCTTTAAAGTTTGCATAGGATAATATTTAAATTCAAACAAAAACATAACATCCATAAAACATAAAACCGACAGCACCTTTCCTCCAGCCCTGATACTCTGTAAATTCTTAATAACAAGTTCTCCGTAAACTACATATTGAGTCCAATTTGACCTTTCTCATGATCTCCCTCCACCTGGCGATACATTTTAATTTTCTTTTTCTTTTGGTTAGTCAGCGGCCAGGAGAGCAGGGACTTGTTGTGCCAACTGTCAGACAACCACCACGACCTTATGGCGACGTAATGCAAACGGGGACCCAGTTTGTAATGCCTGTGGACTCTACTATAAATTGCACAATGTGAGTATTTACTCATCTCATGTGTCGCTGCTTGCCTAGTGTGGATTGATGTCTTAACTGCATGGTGTTCGCTGGGCTTTTATTGGTTTCAGGGGTTTGGTTGTTGTTTTATTCCTTGCCCGTCTCTAAGGTTCCCCTGGGAAGTGACAGCCGTTCTTTGTCAGCATAGTGATGCTAAGTTCAGTGACATTACAATGTATTAGCTTGGCTTCTGGCTTGGGCAAACCAGGCTAAACAGAGCTGCCACACTTGGTTTTAACTAAGTGGGTTTTGTGTGCAGTTTCCCTCCAGAAAGAGAGGCCATTTGGAAGGGGCTCTGTGCAAAAATTAATCCTGATGGGCCATCTTCATTTTGACTTTTAAAAAAATAATTGTATCTAAGGCTTTGTTGTATTATTTAATTTTTTCAAAAGAAATTAATCCTGAGTGGGAACATTTGATACGTTGGAATTATTTACACTGTAGGTAACAGAGGTTACTGGTACAAGATTGCTCATGTCTCAGGACTGAGTTTGGGTCAGCGTGTGCCTCCTAGTTTGATCTTCTATTAGGAAATTAATGAAGACTGAGGGTAAGCCTACGGGAAAGAGACTCATCAGCTGCCAAATTCAGTTCAATTTGTTTTTCATGTCTAGGGTTTTTTTGTGTGTGGTTTTATTAAACAAATCAATATAAACAAATTCTGCAGAGAGAAACACCATTTTTTTTGGCCAGAAAAAGGTCTCCATCCAGGAAAAACACATGGGGGCTGTCCAAATATTTTCATTTTTGCACAATAAAGTCATTTTGTCTGCATGAGCCTGATTTTCTCATTTCTTGCAGGTGAACAGGCCCCTGACCATGAAAAAGGAAGGAATTCAGACCAGGAATAGGAAAATGTCCAACAAATCAAAGAAAAGCAAGAAAGGCTCTGAGTGTTTTGAGGAACTGTCCAAGTGCATGCAGGAGAAGTCGTCTCCCTTCAGCGCTGCTGCCCTTGCCAGTCACATGGCGCCCATGGGGCATTTGCCCCCTTTCAGCCACTCTGGACACATCCTACCAACACCTACCCCCATCCACCCATCTTCCAGCATCTCATTTGGACACCCACACCCATCCAGCATGGTTACAGCCATGGGATAAAACCTGATGACCAAGAGACCCATCCAGATATTAGGAACATGGGACTTTGCCTAAGATGACAGCAAGTAAGACAATGTTCTGCCAAGAGGAGAATGTAGGGATGGCAAAAGGAGACCTTTGCTCCCATGTGGTTAACTTTTAATGCTGGACTAAAACCTTGCAAATGATGGGTCTTCTGCAGAAATGTGTAGTGGTGCCTGTAATGCACTTTGCCCCCTCAGGTATAAGAAAAAAGAACTCACCTGTTCGATACTTAATGGTCCAGCAGGAAGCAAAAGATGGCAGAAGCTGAAAGAGAAGGCTTGGAACTGGTTTTCCTTTCTCTCTTTGTTATTACTGTGAATATTGTAAAGAGATATAAGCAGCCTCCCAGGATGGAACTGGCTCACTGGAAGCCAGACATGCTGGATTTCTATTGCGGACTTTGGGATAGGGAAAAAAAGAAGAAAAAAAAGCCAAAAAAAGAAAAGTAAAAAAAAAAAAAACAAACAAGAGAAAGAAAAGGGCATCTTTATTAAACCATAAGTTTTAAAACCAGACACAAAATCATATTTATTTTATTTTCCACAAAAAGCCTCAACCCCTCTGATTGCATGTTTTTGTGCTGTCATTTGCAATGGCTACCCTGTAAGAAAAGCTGCCTTCAAAACAAGGAGAGGGGAAATTTACTCAACAGCCCTCTTGGATTAGCTCCATCTATCTTCCATACCAAAGTTACCAGGAAGGGGGAAAAGATTGCGAGGGCCAGGAACAAAGCAAAAATGTAGCCGTAATACGGGATTTTAATATACCCAAGATGGTGATTATTTTGACACAATTCCTTCGTTCTTCTCCCTAACATGAAATATTTATTTTAAAAAAGAGCCCCTCTCCCAACTACCCTATTGTTCCTCAAACCAGACAACCTAGGTCAGACAAACTGTTGGGAAAAAACTCCGGGGAAGGCAATCCTGCACTAGCAAGGGGTGAGAGCTGCAACACAATTTTGGTAAATGCCTGTAGAAGTTCTAGCACAGCCAAAACAGTAATGGGGCCCAAAAACCAATCCTGCTTGCAGACTCTGGAGGTTGAAGCATTTTGTTCTGTTGTGTTGGCAGCTGTCGCTTAAAAATGCAGATTAGCTGCTTGGGTAAACTTTGGGCAGTGTGGCCACCACATCCACATGCAGCCAGCGCCTGCTGTCTCAGGCACCCACCCCGGTGGAGTCCACCGGGAGCAAGGGCAGAAAGGAGGCTGAGATCACTGGAGAGGGGAAAAAGAGAGACAATCAGTTTGAGCTTCACACATCCATCAAATCCCAGACGCAGAGACAGCTGAGGGAAAGCATCGTTCTAAGGGGAACGTCTGTTTTCCGTAGCGGATTTTATATGAAAACAAGAAAAGAACAAAAAAAAAGAAATCTCCCATTATGAAACCATATTGTACGTAAATGACCGAAAACAAAGCTATTGCCAATGTGAAGTGTATTCTATTGATTGTTATGATCTGACGCCTCTTGTGATCACAAGCTCCAGTATAACATACGGTGTACATATTTAGGTATACTTCTGATGAAAATGCCCCAATGAACAGAGGGGTTTGATAATGTAAACCACGTAAGCTTAACTCTGTGAAAAGCTTTTTATTTTATTTTTTTAAATTTTAACTATTTTGTTGTTGGGTTTTTCTTTTTCTTTTTCTTTTTTTTTTTTTTTTTTTTTGGATCAAGCCAAATTGTATCTTTACTGCAAAAGTCCTGCTTTAAAGAAAAAAACAGAATGAAACAAAAAAAGGATGTATGTAAAATTTTTTAAGCCTGTAATTTTTAAGCCTACTAAAATGTAGTATTTTATAATTAAGAACCAAGCAGCCATGAAAATCCTGCTTTCCTCTTTTTTTTTTGGTCTGTGTAGGCATATAGGTGCACTTTGTAAAGAAGTGGAAATAAATGGGAAACTAAATTGGTTGGGAGAAATCATAAGAATTTTTAATCTACTGAGGTAAAAAATTAGGTCCTTTTTGCTTTTTACCTTTTACAATGGTACAGTTGTACATTATTTGTACCCAACTCAAATTTCTGTAGGATTTGGGCAGAGGGGAAGGGGTGTGGGTGAAAGACAGGGATTACTGATACAGTTGACAAAGTGCAATATATTGTCAGTCACTGCAGCATAGACAACAGCAGTTGAGATTTAAATTATTTTGTACTTGTATCAGCATAAAAAATTCTTCAGTATTTTCTGTTTTTATTTTAATTTTTATTTTGCTTATTTTTGGATTAGTGAACTAAATTATTGTTAATTATGTACAACATGTTTATATATTGTCTGTAAAAAGTGTATGCTTTCCTCATATTCCTTCCAGGTGAATATTGCTAAGAATAATAAATACCTTTTTTGTGAAACTACCTGTGCCCTGCTTCATGTCATAAAAGCTGCTTTTAGTAGAAGAAAAATTATCGTCATTGTTGCCAGTTGAATCATTAGCTTATACTTTATGCGGAGCAGGCTATGATATTTTGAAACCCTAACAAGGTAGTTAAAGAATGATTTAGTATTGGAAGCACAGGTACAAAAGCTCATTCTCCAGTGTTGTTTTGGAGTGACGAGGTCAAGCAGTTAAGTGTGCCTAAGTTTCTAAGCTAGTTTAAATTTTGAGGGAGCAGCCACATTGGAGATGATGAACTGTGGTTTCTCTTGAAATTTTTTTTTGTGTTTCATTGAAGTGTTTGGAGAAATACTTTTACGTTAAAAACATATTTTAAAAGCACTGTGAACACAGAAAAGAGACCAGCTGCTTAATGGATTTCAAGGCAGGACCTGTGTTAGACCAGGGAAAGTTCTCCAAAGGAATACTCTACACCTGGAAACCTGTTTCTTGCCATTTGTCATTATCAGTGGCATGAAGGGAGGAAGTGGGGATGGCCAGCCTGGAGCTGCTGCCCTGAGTGCAGGGAGGTGTGCACATGGACTGGCATGTGAGGATGAGAAAAGTGCTTACCAAACAGATCTTCCATTACACCAAAACTTTGCAGCTGCTTTCATCACACAGTGGAGTTTGACCGACACAAGGAACCCCTTGGGGCCCTACAAAGTGAAGCAAAGTCCTGCAAACTCACCCTGCCATGTGTAGGGGTGGACATTGCTGCTGCAACAATATTTTCAAGAAAAGTGCTAGTGAATTTTGGGTTTCCTCCTTTGACTCCCTGTGGAAACCAGCTTGGGGATAACTCTACTCATTATGGAAAAAAATGACCTGGGTTATTTTTTCAGTGTGTGTGTGAATTCCAGCCCTTTCTAGCAGTGCTTGTCTTTCCCCCTGCAGCCTCCTGCCCAGCCCTGGTTGCAAGCCCTGCTTGTGAATTCCACAGAGCTGCAGCAGCTCTCCATGTGCTGAAGGAAGAACACACAACTGGGACAAGGCCTTCCTGCATCATTTCAGACGAGTTAATCATCTCTCTAACTTGTTCAGCAAGGCTTAGTGCAAATACCCATTAAAAAAGAAAAAAAAAGAAAGAAAAAGAGGCCATTTATAGCATACTGTGCAAGCTTCATTTAAAAAGAAACATTTAAAAAGAAACATGTTCTTTTTAGACAGGTTTAAAATGGGATTATAACTAAACTCAGCCTCTCTCCCTCCGTCTTCAAATAGCTGAGAACTAACAATATCTCTTTAAAATTTGGAATAATTAAGTTGTTTGCTTTGGTTGCACAGTACACATCCCACTCAGGTTGTGATGGTGGCTTACCTGGGGGCTCCCTCTCTGCCTCTTTGCTGGTTGGGTTGCATCCAGTGAAAGAAGTGGGGCCCTAATCCATCAGGCTGTCAGGAGGGGTGGTGCATCCCCCAGCGCCCAGAGGAGCGTGCTTCTCTGAGTGGGGGCTTCAGCAGTTCCTGCAACACAGATAATAAATAATCCCATGTTTGTCAGGTGGCACTAATCTGTGAAAGATCAAACCATCTCTCTGCAATGTGTGTATTATGTCTGTCTCCAGACATTTTGCATAGCAGAAGAAAAACAAACAGCAGGGAATGGAAATGGAGCAAGTGTGTAAAGTTCAATGTAAAGTGTAAGCACCGAGCAGATATCAAGGCAACAAATTGGGATTTATAGTCCTTTCACTACCACCAAACACTGGGGGACGGGATTTTTGTGAGGGGGGAACCCTGACATTACTTGCCTTTGGTTCCTGTTGTTGGGATTATTGTTTTAAGCGGTGCTTAATTGTCATGTCTCCACGGCCACATCAAAAGCCAAGAAGATTAGGTTACAGGGAGTGTTTGATGTCAAAATACAAAATAAATAAAAGGGAAGCTGAAAAGGTACTTTATTTTCCATGATGTCTACTGAGGTTTTTGCTTCAAACATCTCTCTTTTTATTATTATTTTGCAAAGGTTGCACTTTTAGTAACAAGATTTTATTTACTTACTTTCAAATGGCTCCACTGCCTTCCTGCAGCAGCTCAAAAGGGTTAATATCCCCTCTTTGATGGCAAACATGGTATAATTAACGCAAACTTCTTAAGTATCCTGGTGACCTGTAGATGGCCACATGAGAATTTTGTTATTTACTGACTTGCCAAACGTTTATTGCTTATAGAAGGACAAGTGGGAAGCAGGCATTAATTTTGATGCTGTTATCTGTGATTGCATGTAAAGTTCATAGCAGAGAGTGCCTATATGTCAACTGCAATTAAGCATTTTCCCATTTTTTAAAAAATTAATTTCACTTTGGTGGAGGGGGTTGGAGCTGCAGATTTACAAACTGAGCTCCTGCCCATCCGCAGAGCAGGCATGGCACAGCCAGAAATAGGACAACTTCCCCTTACCTGCAGGCTGCAAAAGAAAACAGTCTGGCGCCATGGAGCATTTGATCCTTGGCTTCTCCACAGAGACAGTCAAAGCAGGACCAACTGCGGCAGGGCAGAGAGGGACATTTTGTGGTGAGGCATCTCCCCTTGGAAATTAGCCTGAAAAACAAAAATGAAGCCAAAAAAAAGTGGCTATCAGGTGAGTATGTTCGTTTATCACCAACCTGGACTGGATTAGAATGCATGACCTAGAAGTAAAATGCTTTGTTTAGCCCAATTCCCTGGGCCATCTGGTCCTTGCGAGTAAACATTTCTGAGTGAGAATAAGTGACTGTTCTTTAAGCCTGGTGATATGAGTACAAACCAGGCTGCTCTGAGTCTAACAGATCAAACCTCAGCACCAGGGCAGCTGGCTGGTGCCAATTCAGAGACACCATTTGCTTCAACAGCTTTGGGTGCAATTCTCTGCGGTGCCAGCTTTGCAGTCAGCCCTGGTGGCTCAGTCTGATGTGTCCCTGCCAGATCCAGAGCTTATCCTAAATCCAGGGCTCACATTGCACCAAGGTGCTGCTGGG